TACTTATATTTTGATTTACACAATTGCAAAAGCAAAAACTTGGAAATGCATACTTGCTTTTTCTAGGCCATGATCGTGGTATTAAGAAATTTTGACAGACTGGCCAGCTTGGCGTCAGAATAATGTTTCCTGATAGGGTGAAATGTCTTCATGCAGTCTATCAACTTGTTAACTTGGTGTGAGCTAAGGCTCCGTGTTGAAGGCCGTACTTTAAACTTTACTTGTTCACTTTTTACACATTGTCTCTTGGATGGAGAGTTGTCTCATTGGCACTCATACCACATCTTCTTAATTCTAGCACGTTAAATACAGCTCATCGCCTGGGTTTCAAATCTGATTGCATATGCAAATATCATGAACATGTTCTAGTCCTGATATGTATTTAATATTTGCCACTGGACTTTAAACACCAATCATTGATCATCATCATTTTTCCTTAGATATAATAAATACCAATGTCAGGTACATAATCAAAGAGCTGATAGCTCTGACGGAGAAGAAGATACATAAAAGGACAACTTGAATTGCAATGAAAGCAGACCAAACCAACCCAGCCTACCATGTGCCATTGTTTCTTTTGATATGATTAAACTTCAAAAAATAATATAGGTACACTTGTCTCCACCGAAACAGATTTACCTAAATATAAAAATCTTTGAAAAGTAGTAATATTGGGTATTCCGGATTCCTTCGTCAGTAAAATCTGGCACCATATTTTTAGTGTGGTTTAACACAAAAAGGTAATCAACCAATCATGAATTGTTATAGTTGTATACAGTAACTTGGTTTTTTTTATTAACATATTTTGAAAAGTGCTAAATATATGATTCGATGTAGATTTTGAATATTGACAGGTATTAACACTCAAATCTACTCAGTACTAAAATTTGAGCAATATTAACCCAATAAGCATTCGAGAACTGTTATAGTTGTTTCTAGTTGAGTTCATTACATTGTGTGACAAAATTGCTTCCCTTCAGTAATAGATACTTACTAGGCAGTCGTAAGCGGTTGGCATACGGAAGTACTTCTTTAGCTAAGTCGGTTTAAAAGAACGCTATCTTGAGTCACATAGGTCCCGGGTTCGAGTCTTGGAGAAGACTAAACGATTTTGTAATGAGAGTCATTCTCTTCGGTTACATTTGGCGCCCAATTGAAAACCATTGAAAACGTTTTAGATTTGAGGCTCTTATATTTTATTTTTTACTTTTGTGGTTTATTTACCCTTTGCTCTCAAACTAAATCATAAAAGTTATTCCAGAAAAACGTATCGTGTATACTGAAAAATGATATCATTTATTTAAATCATTGCTCATAGGCTGGAAGCTGCTCTTGGTAGTCCCAATATCATGTTATATTTGACGAGTTCGTACCATCTATCTAGGATTTACAGCTTACATTCTGGTTTAATTTTGAATTTCAATAACATTTTTTTTTAAATTAGGAAAGTATACAAAAACTAGGATTTGAACTCCCTCAGGCATTGTTAATTTTAGATAATGATGATGTCTTGTTTGATCTGGTATCATCGCCAATGAGACAACTGTCAACCACAGAGCAAGGGACTAGAGGTCATAGTACGGCCTTCAACAATGAGTGAAACCTATACTGTAAGTCTGTTTTAACGGCTCCGATATGACAAATGTTAACTAATCAAAATGAGGAAACCGACGGCTTGTTTGGCATACATACATGTACCAATAAACGAAAAACAAAAAACAAATCTTGAAACTATTATAATTCAAATAGCGACAGCAATAAACCTGTTACATTGAGGTGTAAAAATGAGATAGCATCCTAAAGTAGAAATCAGAAAATTTTAATTAAATGAAGACAATCTTTTATTATAAAATCATGATCCTATAACAACGTTATAAGCTATATTTTTTTGTTAATCTGTCAGTACAGAGTTTAAAAAGTACCTTGGGATTGCTGTGGTGTAATTGTTAATATGACACAGATGGATGAGGGCTTTAAACGTCCCAAATCAGATGATTTTAGATTTAATATGCACTGAAAAATCACAGGTGCTAAATACTTATTTTTTCACTATATTTATCAAATTAAATATGTCCTAAAGTTCAAATTTGAAACTATTTGTAAAAAAAACTTAATTTTCAAGATAAATTTAATAGGTGAATTTGACTTTAACACTGATTAAATGTAGCAAATAGGCCTGTGCATTTTAGTTGTTTTATATAATCATATAGGCATACATGTGTGAAAATATTTTAAGAGAACATTTGTTAGACACATCATCTTAATTGTAAGTGATTTAAACAGATATATGCCATGAATACAAGAATACATACCATCAATAGCAGCTTCTGCATATAAAGATACATGATAAACGATCTCAGTTTTTGATCGCAGAAAGTCTTCACATAAATCCGAAATAAACGGGAAACGGGAGGTAAGTCATTTTATGTATGGTAATTTTAACCTTAAGCGATCATTGCTTCGTATTTTCATACTGTATTTGTTACACGCTTAAACATGTTAAAGAAAAACATATTCCAAATTAAAAGTACGCCACGTGCTGCGCATAAAATTATTTATTTACAAATTTTATAAGCTGTTATACATAAAATGATTTATTTACAAACGTAAACACAAGATATAATTTTTGCTTTAAACATGAGGGGTTTTTTTTAACAACGCGTTAAATATCTCTACACATTTACGTTGTTCGTTCTGATTTTATATCACAATTATAAAAGGTTAAAAATGTTATTACTGTGCAGTACATGATTATGTGTTACTGCCTAAAGTAAGGGACCTTTTTAATAAATATTATAATTTTGATACAGGAGGAGAAAAACTGACAAATTAACACTTTGACTTAAACAAAAATATTCCAAGACACAGACATAAACTATTATGAAAATAAATATTCTCACACACAAACATACACTATTTACATCCTTGTATACCGTTTTTTTATTTTTTTTTTATTTTTTTATATATACATTTATGTGGAAACCAGTGTTCTCGTTACCTGATTACTGAGTTCATTGTTTATATTAGAAACAGAAGAAAGAAGAGTGATATATTGGTATGATTGCCGAAAACTTATCGACACTGACGCTTACACCTATGCCAAGGACGACAGGTAACCTTTTTAGGTGGGGTCATCTCAAGGTGCACAATGAGCACAGGCATTTATAAAAAAAAATATATATATAATTTACACTTTAAATACTGTATAAAAAAATATTTTCAATGATTTGTTGATTTATTGGCTCTGCTTAGAAGCTGAGAATTGACCGATCTTCATATAATTTAAAAAAAAGGGGGCTTGGCTTTGTGTAAATTAGTAGAACTTTCCACAGAAAGTCAGGATTCTACTTCGTCAAAATCATCTCTCAATAACGCCGATTAATTTTTTTCAATCGTGAAAATGGAAGCCATTGTAGGGATGACCCGCGCTGTCAACTTATTTTATATAAAATTTATCCACTTGGCATAATTACGATCCTTACGATCCTTACATGACAGTTGTGTTTTAAAAAAAACAAATGTATCTACTAGCTATAAAGCATCTCATGTACTTTTAGGCCTTTTGTCAACTAAAAACTATTGTCTGGTTGGTTGTCATGCAGGGGGAAATTTTGAAAGTTGATAAAAACATTAAAAAAATTCTATTTAGATATTATGTGGAAGGGCAGACTAAACATTTGCAGAGGTTGAAGAATAATTAACCTAGATTGTTTTTTCTTTGTTTTTTTTCAGTTATGCATTTTTAAGATCCACTTATAAAGTCATGGACTTTTTGTATAAATCCAAGGAGGAGTTAGTGAACAACATTTGTCCCACTTTTTTTTTTTATACATTTCATAAATAAAATAATTAATATGCCTAAATTTTTCACTAAAAAATGAGTGAACGAAAGTAAAACAAAATACAACTAAGAAATACACTTCCAGTTTAAACATTTGAAATAGCACGAAGCTTTTCTTATTTTATTCAAACACACCTACTCTGTTAGAAAGGTATTTCACTTGACCCATATATTTCCTGTTTTGGTAATGTGAATGTGTAATGTTATTATATCAAAGTGTAGCCTAAATATATAAAAAAAAAATAATGGATCTGAAGCGAGACTAATGTATCAATATTTTTGCTTTATACGTATTCAGGACAAAACAGTCAACTCAAACACGCTTGAACGTAAAAAGGTGTAACCGATTTTCTCTTTTGATAAGATGAATACCCATTTTGGTTATTTTACCCCAAAAACTACATGAAATGTAATTTACTGCTTGAACAAGATCAATCAGTATAATTCGACAATTAGAAGAAAACAGGTGGAATATCACAAATCATCACTAAAAGAATTCCAAAGCTGATGAGAGGACTTTGTGTTTCTAGCTCAGATTTTACAAATTATAGAAAACCAAATAACGAATAATGAATTTATATTTATTTTCGACCTCTGCTGAGTCAAACAAAGTTTTACGAGGGGAGTCTTTTTCTTCTATGGGATATCCATCCTATTTGCAGGGTCGCCATATTAAACAATATATGAGTTTATTTTTAAATATAATATACCTCGTTAATATAGTTATACATTGTACATGTTAAATTAAATTCATTAAGTGTATTTTGACATTTTGATACGGTCCCTCTATTTTTTTAGTCAGTGTAGGTATCGGTATCGGTATGAGTGTCCGTGTAGATGACTTTTCGAAAATGCCTAATGAGACAACTATCCATCGGAGACCAAATAACATAGATGTAAGTTTGAATTCCTCAGTCGATATACTTCTTTCAGGTCGTTATATCCTGGTATAGACCTCGTACAAATGAACGCTATAATTGTATAATGTTTATGTGTAGTCTTACTTTGTATCAATGTCGTTTAACGTCATCGGTTTCAAATTGGATACACGGAACACAAAAAAACTCAATTGACTTTCTCATCAACCCTTAAAAGGTCTGTAACCAACATTAAATTCCTTCATGCACACTAAACGTTAGTTTTAATAACATAACAACGATTTATAACAACATCTTTTATTTTCTAAAGAAATTAATGGTGTACAAATGGGCTAAATATATAGAGTTAAAATGATAAGAGCATAAAAACACAAAATAGTTAATACTAGTAATAATTTTTGATACACCGATTGTCTTTTTCATAAGATAAATATAGTTACAGTCAAAATCCTCAAATACTACACATTCTAAGAATATGTATATACTAGACTATTATACCTCAATATATTTTCTGTTTAAAAAATAATAAATATTTTTGCTATAACATTCAACATAGTATTTGCCAGTCAATAGTTTCAAAGACAATTACTCAGGCAAATAATTTTTGAGACTTATTTTTTTTTTTCACTGAACTAAAACAACGTCATTTTGACTATTCGTGTTGCTTGGACTTTTTCAAATCGTTAGGTAATACACTGATATATAGAAAAAAAAGCAGTTATTGGCTTCTCGGGCACAACAAATGAGATATTTCTTTCATATAACCAGTCAAAGAAAATAAACTATTGTGTGCAAAATTGAATGTGATAAACTTGTCCGCATTTCTGTCCTTATTTCAATACCCTGTAAAATATCTCCATCTTCAGATATTAATTTTATTAATTGTTTTCAATTTATTACAATGTACCTGATGGCATATATATATTTCTAATTTAATATTCAGAATTTTAAAAGTTGTCTCAAGTGTTTGCTTAGTGTTTTCAGTAAACAAAACATTATTGAAAGTTTAAATTTCAAATAGAAAAGAAACGGAGAATCTCATTTTATCTCAATAATGTTCCGAAATTTATTTAATTAAATGTTCGTTTAAGGTGTCAATGCGAAATCCAACAGTAGCTTTTTGTCGCCGAATCGGCATTGGAAAATAAAAGGTCAAAAGTAAAACGTTTCTAAGAAGTATAAACAAGTATGTATTATAGGGAATAATCTGAAATTGTGACTTAGTGAGATAAAATTGTGACTCCATTAGATCAAATTTTGACTTAGTTATATCAAATTGTGACTTGGTGAGATCAAATTGTAACTAATTTAGATCAAATTGTGACTCAGATACATCAAATTGTGACTTGGTTTGATCAAACTGTGACTCAGTAAGATCAAATTGTGACTTTTATTAGATCAATTTGTGACGTATATTGATCCAATGTAATTTAGATCACATCGTGACTTGGTTAGATCAAACTGTCACTCAGTTAAACCTATATTGTGACCCAATTAGATTAAATTGTTACTTTGTTAGATCAAATTGTGACTCAGTTAAATCAAATTGTGACTTGAATTGATCAAATGTGACTAAGTTAGATCATATCGTGACTTAGTTAGATCATATCGTGACTTAGTCAGATCATATCGTGACTTGGTTAGATCAAACTATGACTCAGTTAAACCTATATTGTGACTCAGTTTGATCAAATTGTGACTTAGTTATAAAAGATCAAATTGTGACTCAGTTAGATCAATTTGTGACTAAGTTAGATCAAATTGTAAATAAGTTAGATTAAATTGTGACTCGGATCAAATTGTGACTTGGTTAGATCAAATTGTGACTTGGTTAGATCAAATTGTGACTTTGTGAAATCAAATTGTTACTAGACTAAGTTAGATCAAAGTGTGACTTAGTTAGATCAAATTGTGACTAAGTGAGATGAAATTGAAAGGTTTTTTTTTTAATTTATCCTGCAATCAGCCAACTATTGTACAAATAAAGTCTCCTGTACTGTGGATATTTCTTTTTGTGTAACAGTTCATTTTGGGATCCTCTTCGCGGTCCGCGTTTAAAATATGTCTATTTCTTTAAAAATAAGAGACGATGATTTGGATTTTAACAACTAAAGTTTTAAGTGGCGGGTGTAAATTGCAGGATAAAAACAATATATGTACATTGTCGGAAATATAAAATGTATTTGTACTCGCTGCGTAACTCGAGAAAAGCTCAGCGAGTCTCGCTTTTCGTCCTGTTTCTAAAGCTAGTACAAATAAATTTTACTATTTTCCGACAATGTAAATATATTGTATATATGCTTGCTTAGCTATAACGCTGTGTTAAAATGTATATGATTTTAAACAGTACAATACCAATGCAGTTAAAACATATATATATATATATAAGAATCACTGTAAATAGTAAAACAATTGTATGATTACAAACTACACAATAAAAAGCTTTAAACTTATTTTTACACTTATTGTATACATGCATAATCCAGTATGTACAAAAGACGGTATATACACCCATTATTACCCTTTCTGGTGTAAAATTGATACCTAATTCAAAAAAATGAAATTCGAATACAGAAGACAGCCGAAATAGTTTAGAAAGATTCTAATTTCTTCTTTTTGAATTCGTAGAATCAACAAAAGAACCGTATCAAGTAATGCGAAGTGTTGCTCTATGTTTACCAATATCACCAGTCATGAAAATAGTATTTCTTTATAAGCTGTAGGTCTTTTTAACTTGAGGGGAGATCGAATTAAGATTTAACTTTGAATACTTAATAGAAAAAAAACAAAATCAATGTACATATGGCTTGATCGACATCTAGGAAATCAATTGCTCAAACCGATGCTAGATGCGGTGTTGAACTAGCTTTAAAGTGTGAGCATTTATGTATATGTGTTGAAGGCGTGTTATTAACTGCAAGTTGGAGATAAAGAACCGCAATATCAATCATGTTCTTTTGATTTCAGCTTTGCCATGTTGATGAAGTGATATTGCATCATTAACTAATATAATTTCATTTACATTATAATAGCATCAAATTTCTTATCTGATCAGTTCATATTATGCAAACAATTCTTACAACACAACCACTATTTAGCAATATTGTATAACATGCAATCTCTGATTTTGTAACAATATTTTTAGTTGACAAGTAATAATAAAACATAACTGAAAATAACAGAGAAAATAGTGATATCTAGTAATAACTGCATCCCTGAATCCACAAGATTAGTGTATTTCTTTACACATTTTATTTCATTACACATTTAACTCTAATTAGAATCGGGGCAATAATCAGGACAAGATACAGTAGGCCTGGTAAATCTATACAATAGCATACTAAGAAATAACAGTGCACCTGTGCATCTGTCCTTATTTGGTACTATCAATCTAAATATTTTACGCAAGGATATATTATACCAGATAAACAAACAAGTATCACAATTGAAAAAACACAATCACATATGAAACAACGCCAGGTACATTTGCAGGTACATTTTGTATTTGTGTTGTCATCTGTTATACGATCGTAATCGTTCCTAGGATTATTTTTACAACAGGGTAAAACTCGAATACAACTTGAACAAGAAGACTTACTACACTTGCAAGCAGACTTACAACCTTTCGAATAACATTTGCAAAAACAATCAAAAAGGCTGCCTATTAAAAGAGAAAAAATATATCGTGAAGAAAGACTTGATATTAGGTTCAAAAGAAAAAAGTAGAACGCTGGAGGTGACAGATATGCTTGTCCTAAGAACCCAAAAACAATTCCCACAAAAATAGATGAATATCCTGAAACAAACCTCACGATAATTTTCCTCCAAAAAATTCTACTTTTCCAGCCAAGTCTTTCACGAAGGGGACATAATGTAAAGCATAATTTTATCATGAAAAACATTGTCTCAACTGACACCGATACCCATAGAGAAAAGCATATTGTTTTGAGGATTGCATCACTAGCCAGGACATAAGCAATTTTGCACATATATTCCTCATCAAATTTAGATTTTATATTTTCTATGATTCGCTTACCATTTGGATCGTCTAATAATTTTAGTATGCTAATATGTTCGTCTAAAACGTGTTTTGCATGAGTGATTACATTTTTTCCAATTGGAAAAAACTTAAACAATTTGGGTGTAGAACAAGCCCCGTGCGGAACTTCATGAGAAGTATTAAGCATGGTACCGGCCACGATTAAACTTACATAAGAGTACCGTATTAAGGAACCTGCCAATGAACTAACAAATGCAATTATGAGTGCCACTTTCATACCAACTTCTTTGAATTCACCAACTGTAGTCGTACAGAAATCGGCACAACATGATTTCTCTTCAGCTTCATCACTATATTGTTCTCCAGATATTATATAGTTTATCAAATGTTCACAGTTGTTATGTCTGAAGTCGTAATCACGCTCTCCTAATCGCTCACAAAGTCGTTCGTGTATGTTTGATTCATTAGACGTAGAGGGTTCGTATTTGAAGTGAAAGAGTCCTGATTTAAAATCAAAAAGGTCGGATGGTACATCGAGTTTTACTTCTTTCAGTTCATTTATAAATTTGCCTACTCCAAAACCGCTGTTATTTGTAAATATTTCTCTCGAAGATGTATAATGGCCAACTATTACCTTGATACAAGTTTCCCCTCTTTCCAGAATGTCCAGTAACATGAAATAATGGCAATAACTGCAACATGATGAAATTCTTCTGTTTACTTTGAACTTTGAAAACTTCTGAATTTTATTATTGTTGATGAGGTTGAAGAATTCTTTAAAATTATGTATCCTGTCTACCTGAAATATATCAAAATCTATAATAATAGGTCAAATAACATTGAATGGTGCTTAAATATGCCCAGCATACAATTTGCAACACGTCCAAATATAATATACAGCAGAAGACTATATATTTAAGGGGGAGGGTAATTAAAATTATGCACATGATAAGACCAACTTATTCCAGTACATTGCAGCACATTGCAGCACGTACCTTAAAGTTAGTCGACATTATATGGATTCTGGACTCAGAACAATCATCTGTTGCATATATTCTAATTTTAAAGTGTATTTAAACTATAAATGTTTGGATGTTTGAATTTTGAATTTATGATCTGAAATTATTTATAACATACCTTTCATCAGTAGTCAGTCCGTTGTTACTCTCATGATTAATAACATACCTTTCATCAGTAGTCAGTCCTTTGTTACTCTCATGATTTATAACATACTTTCCATCAGTAGTCAGTCATACCTTCCATCAGTAGTCAGTCCGTTGTTACTCTCATGATTTATAACATACCTTTCATCAGTAGTCATTCCGTTGTTACTCTCATGATTTATAACATACCTTTCATCAGTAGTCAGTCCGTTGTTACTCTCATGATTAATTACATACCTTTCATCAGTAGTCAGTCCGTTGTTACTCTCATGATTTATAACATACCTTTCATCAGTAGTCAGTCCGTTGTTGCTCTCATGATTTATAACATACCTTTCATTAGTAGTCAGTCATACCTTTCATCAGTAGTCAGTCCGTTGTTGCTCTCATGATTTATAACATACCTTTCATTAGTAGTCAGTCATACCTTTCATCAGTAGTCAGTCCGTTGTTGCTCTCATGATTTATAACATACCTTTCATTAGTAGTCAGTCATACCTTTCATCAGTAGTCAGTCCGTTGTTACTCTCATGATTTATAACATACCTTTCATCAGTAGTCAGTCCGTTGTTACTCTCATGATTAATAACATACCTTTCATCAGTAGTCAGTCCGTTATTACTCTTATGATTTATAACATACCTTTCATCAGTAGTCAGTCCGATGTTACTCTCATGATTTATAACATACTTTCCAACAGTAGTCAGTCCGTTGTTACTCTCATGATTAATAACATACCTTTCATCAGTAGTCAGTCCGTTGTTACTCTCATGATTTATAACATACCTTTCATCAGTAGTCAGTCCGTTGTTGCTCTCATGATTTATAACATACCTTTCATCAGTTGTCAGTCCGTTGTTGCTCTCATGATTTATAACAAACCTTTCATCAGTAGTCAGTCCGTTGTTACTCTCAAGATTTATAACATACCTTTCATCAGTAGTCAGTCCGTTGTTACTCTCATGATTTATAACATACCTTTGATCAGTAGTCAGTCCGTTGTTACTCTCATGATTAATAACATACCTTTAATCAGTAGTCAGTCCGTTGTTACTCTCATGATTTATAACATATCTTTCATCAGTAGTCAGTCCGTTGTTACTCTCATGATTAATAACATACCTTTCATCGGTAGTCAGTCCGTTGTTACTCTCATGATTAATAACATACCTTTCATCGGTAGTCAGTCCGTTGTTACTATCATGATTAATAACATACCTTTCATTAGTAGTCAGTCCTTTGCTACTTTCATGATTTATAACATACCTTTCATTAGTAGTCAGTCCGTTCTTACTCTCATGATTAATAACATATCTTTCATCAGTAGTCAGTCCGTTGTTACTCTCATGATTAATAGCATACCTTTCATCGGTAGTCAGTCCGTTGTTACTCTCATGATTCATAACATATCTTTCATCAGTAGTCAGTCCGTTGTTACTCTCATGATTAATAACATACCTTTCATCGGTAGTCAGTCCGTTGTTACTATCATGATTAATAACATACCTTTCATTAGTAGTCAGTCCGTTGCTACTCTCATGATTTATAACATACCTTTCATTAGTAGTCAGTCCGTTCTTACTCTCATGATTAATAACATACCTTTCATCAGTAGTCAGTCCGTTGTTACTCTCATGATTAATAACATACCTTTATTCAGTAGTCAGTCCGTTGTTACTCTCATGATTTATAACATACCTTTCATTAGTAGTCAGTCATACCTTTCATCAGTAGTCAGTCCGTTGTTACTCTCAAGATTTATAACATACCTTTCATCAGTAGTCAGTCCGTTGTTACTCTCATGATTTATAACATACCTTTCATCAGTAGTCAGTCCGTTGTTACTCTCATGATTTATAACATACCTTTCATCAGTAGTCAGTCCGTTGTTACTCTCAAGATTTATAACATACCTTTCATCAGTAGTCAGTCCGTTGTTACTCTCATGATGTATAACATACCTTTCATCAGTAGTCAGTCCGTTGTTACTCTCATGATTTATATCATACCTTTCATCAGTAGTCAGTACGTTGTTTCTCTCATGATTTATAACATACCTTTCATCAGTAGTCAGTCCGTTGTTACTCTCATGATTTATAACATACCTTTAATCAGTAGTCAGTCCGTTGTTACTCTCAAGATTTATAACATACCTTTCATCAGTAGTCAGTCCGTTGTTACTCTCATGATTTATAACATACCTTTCATTAGTAGTCAGTCATACCTTTCATCAGTAGTCAGTCCGTTGTTACTCTCAAGATTTATAACATACCTTTCATCAGTAGTCAGTCCGTTGCTACTCTCATGATTTATAACATACTTTTCATCAGTAGTCAGTCCGTTGTTACTCTCATGATTAATAACATACCTTTCATCAGTACTCAGTCCGTTGTTACTCTCATGATTAATAACATACCTTTCATCAGTAGTCAGTCCGTTGTTACTCTCATGATTGATAACATACATTTCATCAGTAGTAAGTCCTTTGTTACTCTCATGATTTATAACATACCTTTCATCAGTAGTCAGTCCGTTGTTACTCTCATGATTTATAACATACCTTTCATCAGTAGTCAGTCCGTTGTTACTCTCATGATTAATAACATACCTTTCATTAGTAGTCAGTCCGTTGTTACTCTCATGATGTATAACATACTTTCCATCAGTAGTCAGTCCGTTGTTACTCTCATGATTTATAACATACCTTTCATCAGTAGTCAGTCATACCTTTCATCAGTAGTCAGTCCGTTGTTACTCTCATGATTTATAACATACCTTTCATCAGTAGTCAGTCCGTTGTTACTCTCATGATTTATAACATACCTTTAATCAGTAGTCAGTCCGTTGTTACTCTCATGATTTATAACATACCTTTCATCAGTGGTCAGTCCGTTGTTACTCTCATGATTAATAACATACCTTTCATTAGTAGTCAGTCCGTTTTTACTCTCAAGATTTATAACATACCTTTCATCAGTAGTCAGTCCGTTGTTACTCTCATGATGTATAACATACCTTTCATCAGTATTCAGTCCGTTGTTACTCTCATGATTTATAACATACCTTTCATCAGTAGTCAGTCCGTTGTTGCTCTCATGATTTATAACATACCTTTCATCAGTAGTCAGTCCGTTGTTACTCTCATGAAACATAACATACCTTTCATCAGTAGTCAGTCCGTTGTTACTCTCATGATTTATAACATACCTTTCATCAGTACTCAGTCCGTTGTTTCTCTCATGATTTATAACATACCTTCCATAAGTAGTCAGTCCGTTGTTACTCTCATGATTTATAACATATCTTTTATCAGTACTCAGTCCGTTGTTACTCTCATGATTTATAACATACCATCCATTAGTAGTCAGTCCGTTGTTACTCTCATGATTAATAACATACGTTTCATCAGTAGTCAGTCCGTTGTTACCCTCATGATTAATAACATACCTTTCATCAGTTGTCAGTCCGATGTTACTCTCATGATTTATAACATACCTTTCATCAGTAGTCAGTCCGTTGTTGCTCTCATGATTTATAACATACCTTTCATCAGTAGTCAGTTCGTTGTTACTCTCATGATATATAACATACCTTTCATCAGTAGTCAGTCCGTTGTTACTCTCATGATTTATAACATACCATCCATCAGTAGTCAGTCCGTTGTTACTCTCATGATGTATAACATACCTTTCATCATTAGTCAGTCCGTTGTTACTCTCATGATTTATAACATACCTTTCATCAGTAGTGAGTCCGTTGTTGCTCTCATGATTTATAACATACCTTTCATCAGTAGTCAGTCCGTTGTTACTCTCATGATTTATAACATACCTTTCATCAGTAGTCAGTCCGTTGTTACTCTCATGATTCATAACATATCTTTCATCAGTAGTCAGTCCGTTGTTACTCTCATGATTAATAACATACCTTTCATCGGTAGTCAGTCCGTTGTTACTATCATGATTAATAACATACCTTTCATTAGTAGTCAGTCCGTTGCTACTCTCATGATTTATAACATACCTTTCATTAGTAGTCAGTCCGTTCTTACTCTCATGATTAATAACATACCTTTCATCAGTAGTCAGTCCGTTGTTACTCTCATGATTAATAACATACCTTTATTCAGTAGTCAGTCCGTTGTTACTCTCAAGATTTATAACATACCTTTCATCAGTAGTCAGTCCGTTGTTACTCTCATGATGTATAACATACCTTTCATCAGTAGTCAGTCCGTTGTTACTCTCATGATTTATATCATACCTTTCATCAGTAGTCAGTACGTTGTTTCTCTCATGATTTATAACATACCTTTCATCAGTAGTCAGTCCGTTGTTACTCTCATGATTTATAACATACCTTTAATCAGTAGTCAGTCCGTTGTTACTCTCAAGATTTATAACATACCTTTCATCAGTAGTCAGTCCGTTGTTACTCTCATGATTTATAACATACCTTTCATTAGTAGTCAGTCATACCTTTCATCAGTAGTCAGTCCGTTGTTACTCTCATGATTAATAACATATCTTTCATCAGTAGTCAGTCCGTTGTTACTCTCATGATTAATAGCATACCTTTCATCGGTAGTCAGTCCGTTGTTACTCTCATGATTCATAACATATCTTTCATCAGTAGT